TTCATAGTACCATTCGTGTGATGAAAAAATCACTGATACTGAAATTGATCAAATCACTGTTTATTTTTTGATAACTACCTATATACAGGCAATGAAAATGATTAGAAATATGATATATTATTTCTCTCTCCTACTCACCCGAGTAAATTCAATGATAATTGGAAGTATTGACAATAATGCATGAAGCAAATAATTTTTTTTTTTATGAAAATGTGTTGACGAATGAGAAGAATCGACCCAACAGAAAATGAGTGGAAACATTGAAGTGTGGCAACCTTGAATCCATTTTTTTATTGCTGGTTACAGTAGTTGTAAATGTGAGAATAATTCACAATGAAATTTTGTGTTTGATAACACTTTTTTTCAATAATTTAGATAGGTAGGTACTTCGAAGAGCATGTTTCAAATGTTCCACAAATGGATATACCGAATGCTACAAACATAATTAAACTGAAGGCCATATTGAACAATATGATAACTTGAGAGAACTACAAAAATGATAATTAATAGTGCACTAAATGTGAAATCGCTGTACGAATATGCAATCATTGTTTCAGACGTAGTTGCATTCCTAAATTTCAAATTATATAATATCAACTATATTATATAAATATTATACTCGTTGGGTTAGACATCTTACCTATACAGGGTGTTTCATGAGAAGACTCACATAGCCAGATGGTTAATAGGGGAAATCAAGACGAGTTGATGTATATATATGAAAAAAAATTGTTGACCTCCATAACGAAGATACAGGGTATTATGTGAAATTGCCATATAACTTTGATGGTCGATATTACAGAAATGATTCGTCGTAATCTGCTGAAATTTGGCAGTAACGTATCTCCACTGAAACTATTCAAGATAACATATTATGATAAAAATATCCAGGTCCGGACTTGGGAGAATTTTATGTTTCATTTTTATGTCAAGAAAGTTCACTTTGTGACCACTTTTCTCGAAAAATCCCATCAGATTCAGAAAGATCATACAAAATTCTATGAGAACTGCTCTTCAATTCACACGGCACACTTTGACCGGTTCAATAAAAAAATATGGAACAAAATCGTTCGAATGAATTTTAAATTTCGACATGTCTGATAACTGTCAACTTTCAACTGGTATCATGTGAATTGATTTTTTCTACATTTTCGTTGAATAGTAATTGACAGAAAGATAGACGGGAAGAAAAAGCATGATATTTTCAGTGTGGTTCAAGATTTAGAATTCTGATCACCCTGTATCTGTTTCAATTATTAAATGTCAGTAGATAGTAAATCGAAAGTAGAGATACGGACATGAGAGCCGTTTCGACCAATAATGAATAGTTTCGTCACAAAAGAATCTTAAGTTGAAAAATCTTGATTTTGAACACTCTATATCTCTGTAACTGTAATCATTCCCGCTAGACCCTAAGTGTGATGCATTGATGAAATCCGCTTTTCAGGAAGAATCTAAAAATGACGATGAAAATAGGGTGTTTCTTTTGAAAAAATCAAATAGTACCCTGTATATCGTTTGTTCCGAGCACCCTATATTTTCTTATGTAGCGGTAAAAAACTCTATCGAAAATCATTCGAGATGATATTTCAAATTTTGAAATCGGTTCCAAAATAACTGAGCTAGAGGGGGAGGGGAAATTTATGGTGAATCACCCTGTATATTCAGTACTATCAACTTTCAGTACTTTCCACCGAAGGTTATGGTGGACACCTACCTGTCTCCAACCCGATATTAATAATAAATAATGTTTTCTGACATAACTCATTCCAATGTCATAATTGCTAATGATCGAAAATATTTTTTGACACGCACACTTGGTACACAGAATAATAATAGTGATTATTATTATGAGCATTTTACTACCAAACTCCCAACATAATAAACGTAGATTCGACTATGAGCAGGATGATGAAATATTTCCGCAATGTTCAGAAATGTGTACCATGGGATGCTTGCTTCTAAACCGGAACTATGATCTGTAACTTCCTTGGATGAATATGATATAAAATGAAAACACAATATCAAATATAATAAGGTAGGTACACATTGTCTCTGTTGCAACCTCCAAACTTTGCATCACTTCGAACTGTTATAAATAAAAACAATTAATACTTCCAACTTCAACATCCTGTATCTCAAAAACTTGAACTTCATTTACTAGAATATCACAAGAAAACACCTCTCGGTGTTATTTATATACACCCTGTATTTTTTTATCGCTTGGAGCGCACGAAAGGAAATCCCTATATAATGTTCAGAGAACATCGTGCGTTCCTAGGGAGGATAGGGACAGGAGGTAGGTATTGGAATTTTTTTTGAACTTCTGGGGATTATATGTTGTTGGAAATACTTCCTCAGGCAATGAATTCCAGAGCCCAGCCGTTCTATGGATGAAGGAGTTTTGATAAAGTGCTGTTCGACATCTTCCGAGGTTGACAACGAAAGGATGTGCTGACGGGCTTGTCTAGTTCGTCTGACTGGTATTGCTAGTGAAGGGATGATAGCAGAGATCGCCGAAGAACACTTCCTGTGGAAGTATCGATAGAAAAGTGAAAGGTCGCCGACCTTTCTACGGTGTTCCAATGATGTCAAAGAGTGAGTGAGTGTGGCGTCACCCACCAGGCGAATGGCTTTTCTCTGGATGGAATCTAAGAGCATCAGCGAATGTTTTGGTGCTGAACCCCATATGTGGGAACAGTATTCTAGAACAGGCAGTATCTGCGCTTTGTAGATCATGAGAAACTGTTGAGGTGTAAAGTAGCTTTTCGCACGGAACAAGAATCCGAGTTTTTGTGAAGCAGCTTTTGCGATGGATCTGACATGATTATCCCATGAAAGAGTGTTGCTGATGGAAATACCGTGCATAGTTATGGTGGGCTTGGTGGGGATGGTGGTGCCAGACATTACAATATCGGACATACTGAGTTCCGCCTTTCTAGAGAAAATACAGGCTTGAGTTTTGGTGGCGTTGAATTCAACTAGGTTGTTGGTTCCCCAGGCTGTGATCTCAGCAAGGTCTTCATTGACAGCATTGACCTGCCTGCGCCGTGAGTTCTTAGTTTCCTGGGAAAAAATGGGAATTCTGGAAGAGAACGCAGAATGGAGGGTACTATCATCTGCAAAGCTGTGGATGGGGCAAGTTGTTACTCCCCACAAATCATTGATATGAAGAAGGAATAATGTTGGTGCCAAAATTGATCCTTGTGGAACGCCGGAATTGATGCCAATTGTATCAGACGATTCACCGTCCACCACCACGTGAAGTGATCTGCCTGAAAGAAAACTCGATAAGAGATGGCATAGCTGAGGTGGTAAGCCGTATGATGGTATAGTTTGTGGAGGAGTCCTTCGTGCCAAACCCGATCAAATGCTTTCGATATGTCCAACGCGACAGCTAGAGATTCCCCGTGTTTTTCTAATGAAGCTTGCCATAAATGGGTGACGTAGGCAAGTAGATCTCCAGTAGATCTTTGGTGGCGTATGCGTCCACTTTCATTATCCTTCTTATTTATTTGTAGTTTAATGATGGAAGATGCTCTCAGCTTTTAATTCTTAATTCAGATGACAGATGGTACTTTATGAACCTCTAATAACATTCACCTGTATTCAGCTTCCTTAATTCTTGGTTGTTCATTCAATTCTTCCATCAGTACAAACTAAACTCTATACCTACGAGATATTTTAACGAGTTTCGAAAATTAAGTTTTCATTATCACGAACCGCTCATAAAATAGCACTTACTCGACAAATACTTTATGATAATCTGGAGCTATCGTTTGCTATCGCTGATGGAACGGTGCTGATTGTTTATTGAATTGTATCGGAATGAAATGATGAATTAATGAATCAGGAACGTTCTGACTCAGTCGTGTCAGAAGTGCACCGAATTTCTGACACAATTGCATGAGAGCGGCACAAAATATACATACTTACTTCTCGACATCTATACTGCCGTCCTAAGCACAACTCACGTATCTACAAAAAAGCTAAAATGGAGTAAACGCATTAAACAGTGAAATTTCATTGCTGTTTACTTGAGTATCATTTTGGGTCGGATCAGTATTTTTGTGTCAAAAACGTTCTGAAATCGATTAAACCGGATGACAAATCAAGAAATTATGTGTTTCAATATGAAAAAGCAGATGCGTTGTTTCTGCTGAGAATTGTACATACATATTCCGCAGACTGCAAGAAATTGAAACCATGTTGCTAGGCGAAAACCACGTATCTGCACGCGCCACATATGCGGATGAGGTGTTCTCGTTTAGTACTGTGAAGATAAGTAGTTTTTGCTTAGCAGGAGTGCCTTATTTGGCTAGGTACGGGGAATTGAAATGGCCAAAATTACTGATTTGCAATATAAATACCGGGTTTTCGCTTAGTAAAGATCAAGTATTAGTTGCCAATATACTGCGCTTCGCCCTTCATTTGTTCATTCAGTTTCAAATTCACATTAATTTTTTCTGCAATAGACACAAAAGTCGTCCATTTTAATATCAACATTAGCTCTTGAGTTAACGTTTCTATTACTGACACAAAAATAGGTATGTTGCTAGGCAACACATTTAGTTCCTAGAAGCTAAAGTTCAACTTTGTCACTTTTCATAAATTACTTTCTTTCCGGCTATATATCACATATATACACTGTTGATGGCTTTTGTTGTGCTATAGTTCTGAAAAATGAGTCAATAATACCGTCTCCGAGAAAGAACTGCAAGTCCTTTTATCTTCCATTCGACTTCGCGGTTACGTACCACTAAATTCGCAATTTTTTGAAATCAAATCACAGAATTAGACTGACAGAAATGACATCAGATATTTGATTACTTCAAAAGAATGATAAAGATGCCTACAACGCAGGTGTCCCTACTATTAAAAACTTGAAATTTCACGTCGATAATTTTCAGATTCCAAAATAATGTAATATCTTCTCAATATTGATTCGTTGAATCTACTAATTTTTTCCCTTGTATAATAAATAACTATTTTCGTTGCAGTGCCTCATGCAGAATGCTGGACAACAGTTTGGCCAAGGAGGCGCTCCCTCCCACCAGAGTGTCCCGTTTGGCCACTCGGAGAACACGGTGAGTACCCGAAAATACTAGTACTAGTTTTAGTCCAGTGCCGTTGCGGTTCGATCTAGTTCTAGACTAGTACCGCCTCAATCAGAATTGGTATCTGTGTGTATGTGTGTGCGTTATAGGACGTGGTTTGGCTCTGATGAAGGTTCGACATGAATTCGAAACGTGAATTATTGCCAGCCGAGTGATTGGTATTTTTTGTTGGATCGTTACTGATGGTGGATATATGTACGAAACCTGGTACGCAAATCGTAAGTACCGTACTGATCCAGAAGGGGGCATTTGTTTGACGTACCTACTCATTTTATTGTCCATCACTTTACATTTATTCAGTTGATTCATTCAACTGAACTACGAAACACTAATTTCGTCGCACCCTAAAATTTTGTCCCTGTTGAAATATGAATAACTTTTTTCTGCTTTGAACTATTTCAATTCGGATTACACTGTTCGCTAGCCCAGTCTTTCAGCCATAATCTCGTACCTCTTTAAAACATGAGGTTCTTCATATAAAATCGCTACAGAGTGTCACCTGAAACTGTGAAAGATTTCGGAATTTTCAAAAGGATCCCAAATGGACAGAAACTTTTTTTTTCTACTCCAACAGCAGAGGCATGAAGATAGTCTCATCACCTAGGGACATTTTTCAAATTGTCTTCTTATCTCTTTTATTTACAGAGTGATCTCAAAAAATTATCTTTCCGGTTTCGCAGTCACAGCTTTTTTCCTTGTCAATCCGTTTTTAAAATCTCATTTTGAAGCTGAGACTTCAGATGAACAGATATGGAGATTAGAATTGACTCAAGGTGAACATTATACAGTGTGTCTCACTTCTAATGGAAGCACCCCTGTATGTTTCGTAATTGTTGAGATTGGATTCTGAAACTTACAGCAGCGGGAGATATACTGAAAATAAACACTATGACCAAGTGAAGTCATCTCCAGTGATAAACACTGCTCACCAACAGCCATGGAACCACCTAAATTTCCGGAAAATGTTATTAGGTGCCAAGATAGGTTGAAAATCACTTCGGATTCGAAATCAGGACGTCCAATTCACTGACATATTTTTCCTGGAAAATCTTCAGTTCATAAAAATTCAATTTTGTCTCACTTCTCATAGAAGCACCCCTGTATCTCAAATAATTATTGATGTAGGGTTCTGAAATTTGCAGGAGGAAGCGAAAGGGACGTCCTGATTTTGAATCCGAAGTGATTTTCAATCTATATCTACCGCTCTTGCAAATTTCAAAATCCTAACTCAACAATTACGAGGGGTGCTTCCATTAGAAGTGAGACACACTGTATAATGTTCATATTGAGTCAATTCTGATCTTGATATCTCTTCATCTGAAGCTCAAGCTTCAAAATGACCCTGAGGTTTCAAAGTTTTTATTCATTTGGGATACTTTTGAAATTTCCGAAATTTTGCACAGTTTCAGGTAACACCCTGTAACGATTTCATGTGAAGAACCTTATCTTTCGAAGAATTTCGAGATTGTAGCTGAAGGAGTGAACTAGCGAACAGTGTGATCCGAATCCGAATCGTTCAAAGCAGGAAATACCGTATCGTAACTTCAAGTACGAGTTCAAATATTTCCATGAAAAAATAAAAAACAAACATTCTATTGCAACAATAGCATGCCTATATACTATATAGTAAAGTCCCCATTCAGAGATTCCTAAATATAGTAAATATATTCATAGGGGAATAACTTGCATTCCAATAAGTTTGAATTCCCATCAGATGACTCTAAAAATAAACTACGCCGTCAGTTATTGAAGTAAAAAATCTGAAGAACGAATATTTTGATTTTTTTTCTATCTACTTAGTTTCTACAATAATATTATAAAGCCTATACATACATATATTAATATACAGTCTGAAATGCAACCATAAGGTGAAAATAAAAACACGCAATGTTTATCTGATTCTACTTCATTTCCTCTGAAAAATAATTCATCCTGTATAGTGCATAATTTATGAAAATTAGTTGTGTTTTATTTGGTGATCAATTAAATTTCGGCACCTTAGAGCAGAAAATGAACAATATTCAAACTAAAGTGCATTTTATTCACTAATCTGCAGGTGCAATATTTATAGCTACCTCATCACAATAATTCATAATTACATTGATAATTGTGAAATATTCAACCTAATTATGGAAGTTTAATCATTTGTTTACATTATGTTATTGATAATCGTCGCTTTCGAGGACAGAACATGTATCGTGTCAATTTAAATGCACAAAAAATTAGATGCATCAACAAAAATATACCTATTTGTAGCAATTATCTTCGAGGAAAAGCCAAAATGAATTTTTGCACTTCCAGGACTAAAGTATGTTCTTCAGTCACTCCCAACAGGGATTAAAGTCAACTATTTCATCCCTCGGGATTGAAGTGAACCGTTACTTCAACAGTTCAAAGCAGATAACTACCAGAATAACCAACTGTTAGGCGTCAAATTGAATTGTAACATTTTCAACGCGTCTTGCGCGCTGTAAAAAAACCATTTTCGAGGTACTTTTCTGAAGCCTTTTGTCAAAATGAACTTTTGCATTAGGATTCCATTTCCCTTGAATGAAAAAATGCATTAAAAATAGATTGAACATAAAAATATGTTCTTGATATCAAATTACCTTCTTAATCGGTTTCTGAGTAGTGCTTACTACACACAGACATATAATTGGAAATAGGTTTCCCAATTTTTGAAATGTTTTCCACAATGCATAATTTTGCAACTGCGGAGAAGCTGTGTATTGATGAATTCGTACTTTTATATATTGATTACACGGAGGCACCGAACAACACATCTTGCATCTGATGGTCATTATTACAAACTAAATAAGTCTTCTAACACAATAAACTTCACCAAAATTCCTTTCTGTTCGTTAGCAGCGTGATGTAAGCGTGACACGCTGCAAACGCGAATGCCAATTGCGAACAAGAAGAACAAAATCGAAAACAAATCAGAATTCATCGTATTGTGACGTAAGTATGAGACGTTGTGGTGGGGCAAACAAAGAAAGGGCACAAAAGAACAAAAACAATACTTTCAATAATATATCCTTTTAAGACCTCTTTGGGAAGTGCATATTACGCCTCAAAAAAACATCCTCATGCCTACATTTCTAAAACATCCCAAAACATCCCAGAGATACCTCTCAGTAGGCAAACAAAGAAATGCCACAGAAGAACAAAAACAATACTTCAATATCCTTCAAAGGCTTCTTTGGTCAGTGCATATTACGTCTCAAAATAACATCTTCATGCCAACATTTTCAAAACATCCCAAAACATCCCAGGGATGTTTGTGCTCGCTAGGTTACACTTTCTGAATTACATTTCACTAATCTGAATTACATATTAGGCTTTCTGAATTACAATTGACTATTCTGAATTTCAAGTTATACTTTCTGAATTACAATTAACTATTCTGAATTACAACTTATACTTTCTGAATTACATCTTATACTTTCTGAATTACAATTGAAAAAGGTGTAGTGTCACTGACAGAAAAGTTCTGTCAATAATAAAATTTCTTTTTTCTGCAACCGACACAAAAGTCGTCCATTTTGATACCAAAATTAGCTCTTAAATTGACGTTTCTATTACTGACACAAAAATAGGTATGTTGCTAGGCAACATATTTAGTTCCTAGGAACTAAAAAGGATCTACTGGACGTCATCAAGAATAAACCACATTGTGACGGTTGGTTATTTGGGTTGAGACGCATACCTAATTCGTTTCCCATTTCAGCAGATTTGGCATTTCATACCCATGCAGGAATTATAAACATCTCATTTAAGTATTTTTGTTTTGATCAGGGAAGCCTTCAAGATTCAAATACTTGCTCGATCTGTATATCATTCGTTATTCTCGGCATGGATAACTTGTTTTTGAATAATCACGGCAAGCAATAGTTTTTTTGTCTCAAACAACGATATTGTTTAGCTTCATTTGATTATCAAGTCGAACACAGTGTAGTATGGAGAGGAATAAATAATCACTATCATCATTGTTGATATACCCACTAACCTAACATTTTCCACGTATTGTTCCTATACCTGGCACTGGCGCGGTATTTGCCATTAGAGCACCTGGTCCATACACAAATATGCCACTCTGTGGTTGTATTTATATTGAAACTACAATTCGAACATCCTAGAAAACCTAACCTACTGTTAATGCAGGTAGAATATTCTCAACACATGGGTTATTTGTCAATATTTGTTGCATTGCATACATATGGCACGGCATTGTTGGTTACTTCACATGTTTATTTGAGTAAATTGTTTCGGTTGCAGAAAAAATAGCATGTTTCAGTCGGATCAAAAGTGACTTTGTTCGACTCGCAAATTTTGCTTTCGCTCGGCTTCGCTAAACGCTCCGCCTCGCAAATGCAAAATTCGCTTGTCAAACAAAGTGTCACTTTTGATCCTAATAAAACAATCTACTATTTTTTTTCAGACGACAGGCGGCAGTATAACCAGCTCCTTGAGGCAGTTCCGTAAGCGGAACGATGAGGCGAAGCCGCCGGGCCAGGAGGCGTCAGCCGCCCCGACAGTGGCGGAGAGCCACGTAGCGAGGGTGGCTCCGCACAGTCACTACCCGCCCAGACCTGCCCCCAGCGAGTGCTACCGCTTTCCGGTACAGCAGCCGTACCAGGACTTCGGGTGAGCGAAATATGAGGAAACACCCCAAAATCTAACGATATACTGGGTGACACTGTGCTGAAACCGCTGTACTCTGTATATAAAATATTAAAGATGGATATCATGTCTAGTCTAATAATAATAATTATGAGTGACCAAGTTTTTAACTTTTTTCTACCTCGTATATATGTATTATGAAGATACCTAAAGTCATGTGTCAATCATGTCTCATATCATTTCTTCAGTATTTGATTATGTTGAGTACTCTTTGAGGCATTTCGAGGCATTTGAGACTTTTTGAGATATTTTGATTACATTTGAGATGTTTTTCATTACAATTAAGATCACATTTGAAACGATTTTATTACTTCTGGGACAATTTGATTACATTTGAAACGGACTGCATTTGAGACTTGTTGATTACATTTGAGATGTTGTTTATTCAATTTTGAGTATTTGATTACATTTGATTATACAGTGTGTCCCACTTACCATGCTCACCATGGGTATCTTTTTAACGGTGAGAGATACGAGGTCGGTTAAATGACACCAAATGTGGAGGTTGTCAAGGCCAACTATAATGTGAAAAAATATTTTGATAAAATCTATTCGTTTTTGTTCTATATGCAAAAAACAGATTTTGATCATTTTCATGTCTCCTCCGTAACTTCTTTATTTATGAAAATATTCAAATAGGAATTTCACATTCTCATGGCAGTTTTTCGAAGTGATTTCGAAAATAATATGAAATTTATACCAACTCTTGTAGAATTTGAGATATCAGCACCAACTTTAGTTTTTCAAATGTAGGTCATAGCTCACTATGACTTAGTTACAAATAGCTTTTTTTTTCTTACAGATGATGTGTCGCAGTAATAGTTTTGTGTTGATAACAACGGAGTTATCGTCATTTATACAAAAGCAAAAAATTATTTGGAAGCCGCCATCTTGAATTTATACATTTTAACAAAAAAATCATGATCTCCGATCTCAAAAACCCCCACTTAACAATTTTGAATGGAATCGGACCAAATCTTGTCCACCATCTTGGACCAGCCATTTTTTTAATTTCAACAAAAATATGTATTGTCACCGAAATTATGAACACCTGACAAATTTCAAGTCAATCGGAGTTATGGAATTTTCGTTGAAATTAAAAAAAATGGCTGCTCCAAGATGGCGGACAAGATTTGGTCCGATCCATTCAAGATTGGTAAGTGGGGGTTTTTGAGGTCGGAGATCATGATTTTTTGTTGAAATTCAGAAATTCAAGATGGCGGCTTCCAAATAATTTTTTGTTTTTGTATAAATGACGATAACTCCGTTGTTATCAACACAAAACTATTACTGCGACATATCATCTGTAGGAGAAAAAAAAGTTATTTGTAACTAAGTCATAGTGAGCTATGACCTACATTTGAAAAACTAAAGTTGGTGCTGATATCTCAAATTCTAGAAGAGTTGGTATAAATTTCATATTTTTTTCAAAATCACTTCGAAAAACTGCCATGAGAATGTGAAATTCCTATTTGAATATTTTCATAAATAAAGAAGTTACGGAGGAGACATGAAAATGATCAAAATCTGTTTTTTGCGTATAAAACAAAAACGAATAGATTTTATCAAAATATTTTTTCACATTATAGTTGGCCTTGACAAACTCCACATTTGGTGTCATTTAACCGACCTCGTATCTCTCACCGTTAAAAAGATTCCCATGATGAGCATGGTAAGTGGGACACACTGTAGATTGAGTACAGTTGATTAATTGAGTGTTGATTATGGTGTACACATTTCATTGGAGTTGTCTACCCCTCGCATTGTGTGGATATGACTTTGAGCTTTTTGTATTTATATTATTCGTTGTTGCAGTGTCCATTCCCAAGTAAAATACTCCGAGATCTCGGAAGGGCCACCGATGCAGGACCACGTATCGCCCAGCGTCATACACAAGGTCAAGGGCAAGGAGTACATGGAGATGTGCAACGTGGCGCAATCTCACATGAAACAGCCCTACGACATCATCAACAGCCAACAGCCCTATCACGAGGCCAACGTTCACCCCCATGCTCAGTACATTCCCAAAGAACCGCAGGTGAGATTTAGCTTGACGAATTGAACCTTGAGAGAACTGATAAACCTAGAATCTCTTAGTCTTGAGATTTTAGGTTTATCACCATCTGTTAGTGGAACATTAAAACATTACAGAATGGGCTTATATCACAGAAAAATGTATTTCATAATTCGATAGAACTCACCCAAACTAGCTCACCACCGCAAACCGTTTCTTGCTGTGAGCTACCTACGTTTTATAAAAAATTAATTCTCACCACAGATTCGTTCATTTCGACATCAAATTAGTCTATGTAAATTTTTTCAGATTTTTAATAGGCCAAATAAAAATATTCATTTTCTCACCTGAGACTTCAGTACGATATAGTCACCGAGCTATCTTCGGACGGCAGAAAGTGCCAGAAAACGGCGGAAATTCACGCGAATTATCGCTTTTCCAGTAGAAAATGACACGCTGAATCGAATGAGACTACGATCAGCCCGATAGGACAGATAGTTTTCGAGATATCGACTCTCAAAGTCAGCTTTCCGATTTCATTGCCAATAGGTGCACTCCGGTAGGCTACTACGTCTCAATTATTCAAAATTTCCTACTTTTCACCACAGATTCGTTCTTTTCGACATCGAATTAGTCCATTTGAATTTTTTCAGATTTTTAATAGACCAAATAAAAATTGTCATTTTCCTACCTGAGACTTCAGTACGATATAGTCACCGAACTAACTTCGGACGGCAGAAAGTGCCAGAAAACGGCGAAAATTCTCGCGAATGATCGCTTTTCCAGTGGAAAATGACACGCTGAATCGAATGAGACTACGATCAGCCCGATAGGACAGATAGTTTTCGAGATATCGACGCTCAAAGTCAGCTTTCCGCTTTTATTGCCAATATTTGCACTCCGGTAGGCTACTACGTCTCCATTTTCCAAAATTTGATAGTTTTCACCACAGATTCGTTCATTTCGACATCGAATTAGTCTATTTGAATTTTTTCAGATTTTTGATAGGCCAAATAAAAATTTTCATTTTCCTACCTGAGACTTCAGTACGATATAGTCACCAAGCTATCTTCGGACGGCCGAAAGTTCCAGAAAACGGCGGAAATTCACCCGACTTATCGCTTTTCCAGTAGAAAATGACACGCTGAATCGAATGAGACTACGATCAGCCCGATAGGACAAATAGTTTTCGAGATATCGACGCTCAAAGTCAGCTTTCCGATTTCGTTGCCAATAGGTGCACTCCGGTAGGCTACTACGTCTCAATTATTCAAAATTTCCTACTTTTCACCACAGATTCGTTCTTTTCGACATCGAATTAGTTTGTTTGAATTTTTTCAGATTTTTGATAGGCCAAATAAAAATTTTCATTTTCCTACCTGAGACTTCAGTACGATATAGTCACCGAGCTATCTTCGGACGGCCGAAAGTGCCAGAAAACGGCGGAAATTTACGCGAATTATCGCTTTTCCAGTAGAAAATGACACGCTGAATCGAATGAGACTACGATCAGCCCGATAGGACAGATAGTTTTCGAGATATCGACGCTCAAAGTCAGCTTTCCGATTTCGTTGCCAATAGGTGCACTCCGGTAGGCTACTACGTCTCAATTATTCAAAATTTCCTACTTTTCACCACAGATTCGTTCTTTTCGACATCGAATTAGTCTATTTGAATTTTTTTAGATTTTTAATAGGCCAAATAAAAATTTTCATTTTCCTACCTGAGACTTCAGTACGATATAGTCACCGAGCTATCTTCGGACGGTCGAAAGTGCCAGAAAACGGCGGAAATTCACGCGAATTATTGCTTTTCCAGTAGAAAATGACACGCTGAATCGAATGAGACTACGATCAGCCCGATAGGACAGATAGTTTTCGAGATATCGACGCTCAAAGTCAGCTCTCCGATTTCGTTGCCAATAGGTGCACTCTGGTAGGCTACTACGTCTCAATTATTCAGAATTTCCTACTTTTCACCACAGATTCGTTCTTTTCGACATCGAATTAGTCTATTTGAATTTTTTCAGATTTTTGATAGGCCAAATAAAAATTTTCATTTTCCTACCTGAGACTTCAGTACGATATAGTCACCGAGCTATCTTCGGACAGCCGAAAGTGCCAGAAAACGGCGGAAATTCACGCGAATTATCGCTTTTTCAGTAGAAAATGACACGCTGAATCGAATGAGACTACGATCAGCCCGATAGGACAGATAGTTTTCGAGATATCGACGCTCAAAGTCAGCTTTCCGATTTTGTTGCCAATAGGTGCACTCCGGTAGGCTACTACGTCTCAATTATCCGGAATTTCCTACTTTTCACTACAGATTCGTTCTTTTCGACATCGATTTAGTCTATTTGAATTTTTTCAGATTTTTGATAGGCCAAATAAAAATTTTCATTTTCCTACCTGAGACTTCAGTACGATATAGTCACCGAGCTATCTTCGGACAGCCGAAAGTGCCAGAAAACGGCGGAAATTCACGCGAATTATCGCTTTTCCAGTAGAAAATGGCACGCTGAATCGAATGAGACTACGATCAGCCCGATAAGACAGATAGTTTTCGAGATATCGACGCTCAAAGTCAGCTTTCCGATTTCGTTGCCAATAGGTGCACTCCGGTAGGCTACTACGTCTCAATTATTCAAAATTTCCTACTTTTCACCACAGATTCGTTCTTTTCGACATCGAATTAGTCTATTTGAATTTTTTTAGATTTTTAATAGGCCAAATAAAAATTTTCATTTTCCTACCTGAGACTTCAGTACGATATAGTCACCGAGCTATCTTCGGACGGTCGAAAGTGCCAGAAAACGGCGGAAATTCACGCGAATTATTGCTTTTCCAGTAGAAAATGACACGCTGAATCGAATGAGACTACGATCAGCCCGATAGGACAGATAGTTTTCGAGATATCGACGCTCAAAGTCAGCTTTCCGATTTCGTTGCCAATAGGTGCACTCCGGTAGGCTACTACGTCTCAATTATTCAAAATTTCCTACTTTTCACCACAGATTCGTTCTTTTCGACATCGAATTAGTTTGTTTGAATTTTTTCAGATTTTTGATAGGCCAAATAAAAATTTTCATTTTCCTACCTGAGACTTCAGTACGATATAGTCACCGAGCTATCTTCGGACGGCCGAAAGTGCCAGAAAACGGCGGAAATTTACGCGAATTATCGCTTTTCCAGTAGAAAATGACACGCTGAATCGAATGAGACTACGATCAGCCCGATAGGACAGATAGTTTTCGAGATATCGACGCTCAAAGTCAGCTTTCCGATTTCGTTGCCAATAGGTGCACTCCGGTAGGCTACTACGTCTCAATTATTCAAAATTTCCTACTTTTCACCACAGATTCGTTCTTTTCGACATCGAATTAGTCTATTTGAATTTTTTTAGATTTTTAATAGGCCAAATAAAAATTTTCATTTTCCTACCTGAGACTTCAGTACGATATAGTCACCGAGCTATCTTCGGACGGTCGAAAGTGCCAGAAAACGGCGGAAATTCACGCGAATTATTGCTTTTCCAGTAGAAAATGACACGCTGAATCGAATGAGACTACGATCAGCCCGATAGGACAGATAGTTTTCGAGATATCGACGCTCAAAGTCAGCTCTCCGATTTCGTTGCCAATAGGTGCACTCTGGTAGGCTACTACGTCTCAATTATTCAAAATTTCCTACTTTTCACCACAGATTCGTTCTTTTCGACATCGAATTAGTCCTATTTGAATTTTTTCAGATTTTTGATAGGCCAAATAAAAATTTTCATTTTCCTACCTGAGACTTCAGTACGATATAGTCACCGAGCTATCTTCGGACAGCCGAAAGTGCCAGAAAACGGCGGAAATTCACGCGAATTATCGCTTTTTCAGTAGAAAATGACACGCTGAATCGAATGAGACTACGATCAGCCCGATAGGACAGATAGTTTTCGAGATATCGACGCTCAAGTCAGCTTTCCGATTTTGTTGCCAATAGGTGCACTCCGGTAGGCTACTACGTCTCAATTATCCGGAATTTCCTACTTTTCACTACAGATTCGTTCTTTTCGACATCGAATTAGTCTATTTGAATTTTTTCAGATTTTTGATAGGCCAAATAAAAATTTTCATTTTCCTACCTGAGACTTCAGTACGATATAGTCACCGAGCTATCTTCGGACAGCCGAAAGTGCCAGAAAACGGCGGAAATTCACGCGAATTATCGCTTTTCCAGTAGAAAATGGCACGCTGAATCGAATGAGACTACGATCAGCCCGATAAGACAGATAGTTTTCGAGATATCGACGCTCAAAGTCAGCTTTCCGATTTCGTTGCCAATAGGTGCACTCCGGTAGGCTACTACGTCTCAATTATTCAAAATTTCCTACTTTTCACCACAGATTCGTTCTTTTCGACATCGAATTAGTCTATTTGAATTTTTTCAGATTTTTGATAGGCCAAATAAAAATTTTCATTTTCCTACCTGAGACTTCAGTACGATATAGTCACCGAGCTATCTTCGGACAGCCGAAAGTGCCAGAAAACGGCGGAAATTCACGCGAATTATCGCTTTTCCAATAGAAAATGGCACGCTGAATCGAATGAGACTACGATCAGCCCGATAGGACAGATAGTTTTCGAGATATCGACGCTCAAAGTCAGCTTTCCGATTTTGTTGCCAATAGGTGCACTCCGGTAGGCTACTACGTCTCAATTATTAAAAATTTCCTACTTTTCACCACAGATTCGTTCTTTTCGACATCGAATTAGTCTATTTGAATTTTTTCAGATTTTTGATAGGCCAAATAAAAATTTTCATTTTCCTACCTGAGACTTCAGTACGATATAGTCACCGAGCTATCTTCGGACAGCCGAAAGTGCCAGAAAACGGCGGAAATTCACGCGAATTATCGCTTTTTCCAGTAGAAAATGGCACGCTGAATCGAATGAGACTACGATCAGCCCGATAGGACAGATAGTTTTCGAGATATCGACGCTCAAAGTCAGCTTTCCGATTTTGTTGCCAATAGGT